TAATCGTGCTGGATCAATTTACAAACAGCTCACTAAGCAAAGCTCGCTTCCTTTATCCACAAAGGCTCACAAATCTTATCTCAGCTGTATTCTCCGGCGGTGAGCTAGTCCTTTCCCGTTTTTGTTCTATGCACAGAATGTATCGCCAATCGTACCTTTACAGTTGTTTTATGTATGCCTAATGTATCGTTTTCTATACCTTATACTTTTTTAATGTGGCCTACTGGCTCCACACATGCTTGACATGTAATAAACAAACAAACAAACCGAGGTCTGTTAACAGCGAAAAACAAGTACTTGCGTAATACCTTCGAGTAGTGGTACTAGAATGTATTATCATCAATGACATCAATTACAGGGGACACCACTGTGGTTCGATCTCGCTTGATTCGGTCCAATAATGGCTCAATCCATCCTAAACTATCAAATCATACAACAGTAATCTAAACGAGGTTCAGTATATTAACGCCTGGCGCAGCATGCAAAAGCCATGCGCGCGGTTGCGAAGCGGCTGTTTGGGCGAAGGAGCGCTTCGCAGGCGCGAAACGACATTTGAAGCTAGAGTATTTCACTAACCTTCCATACTTTCACAATGTGAATCAAGGTATGACAACACTTTTCCCTCTGCGATTGCAGCGCACGCAACCGCGCGTGGATCAGTCCTCCCCGTTTTCCCATCCGCAAAATCTTCACTTTCGCAAACTGTGACATATAGCGAGCAAGGGGTTCTGAAAATGAGCTCATTAACAAAAGATTTCGCAAAAAACTGCTTTGTGCGTTTAAACAGAATCGAATTTCACATCCTTAAAGAGCCTCATATTCATATTATTGTATTTCATTACCTTTAGTTGCGCCATGTCTGAAAAGTCATCAACTAGAATGATTTCCTTGAGCAATCGATCAGGTGTTCGTTCCAATATTGAATGGACAGTACGCAGTAGCACTGACCAAGCCTCGTTATGGAAACATACAACGACGGATGTGTCTGGCAGATCGTCATGGTATTTCTCTGTCAAACACCTACAAAGAATTTAACTGAGCCACAATGCTACAATGAAATTTCTTCACTAATCCGCCTTAATAGGCTCATTTCATAGGAGATAGCTGTGATGGTAGACAACGAGAGTACACCCAGTTTTATGGGCTCAGAGGATCTAGGGGCTTATCTACGTCAAGCGCCTATTCACCAGAATACCGTAGTAGTTGAAGGGGCGACCAGTGCTACAGAGCGGAATGGCTGCTTTCATGGTCCGGTACTACTCGGCAGACGGGGTCGAACTTTCAGTTGTAAACAAGGCGCAAGCGCCACCCCCGGCCGGCGCGCTTGCTCGCGCGCTCGCGGGCCGGCCCGCGGACTGTGAAAGCAGCCAATGCGTCAGAGAGCCTCGTCCGGCGCCTGCGTGCGGTTCTAATTCTGTGCTTTTATTTCTCTAGCACTTGCGCGGGCGCAGCATAGTTTGCGCGCCATTTTCTAAATGTATGACGTGAAACCTTTGAGCGCTGCAGAAGGTTCCTCAACCGCTCAGCATTTTTATCGATGTAGTCGTGCCCCTCTTTGACAGTTGAGTAAGCAGCTCTGCCCATTTCGAGCAGTTACGGTAAAAGCCGATTCATTCGCGCGCGTTCGATTCCTAGCTAGATGCCCCGCTAGAAGTCGTTTGGAACTTGAAGACCCCTTACTTATTGAAGGCTTCCTCTAGCAATCCGAATATGGAGTCGTATCAAGCAAATAAAATAACAAACTACTCAAATTTGAAAAAAAATGAAAAAACTTACTCTTGGTCGAGAATTTCCGGTAGCGTTCGATGTATTGATATCATGTCTGATGCATATTGATTGAAAGCGTTATTTTGAAAGCCTAGATCGTACTTTTTATTATCTTCTGGCGATAATTTCTGAAACAGTGCAGGTCACTAGACATCAAAAAAATTCAAAAAAAAATCTTTAGGAAGGTTCTCCATTCAAGAATAATAAAAACAGAAATTTTGGAAGAGAAAGGGAGGTAAGACACGAAGAGTTTGTAACGATGAGGAAACTTACATTTTTGTCAACATTCACTGAAGCTCCTTTTTCACCCGCTTGATTTGGATCTCTAGACTTATAAATGGGATCTGAGGTGTTAACAAAAAATGCCGGCTTCAGTACAACAGGCATCTTAAAAGATAAAATCTGCTATAACTATAAATATACAGCACTGTAGAAAATACGCATTCGTCAACAGAACAACTACGTTACACATTGAAGAGTAACTATCGATTGCTCATTTCGCGCGTTTTCCATAGGCATTCAATCAAGCAATTTTCGGTCGTGACCTTTTGTTCCGTAGGTTCAACGACGTAACATTTTCTGGCCTTTAATGTGAAGCTAAGTAGAAACAAAACTGCAAACTTTCGATTTATGAGTCTTCACCCTTCACTG